GCGATCAATCAGGCGATCAATCAGGCGATCAATCAAGCGATCAATCAAGCGATCAATCAAGCGATCAATCAAGCGATCAATCAATCAGGCGATCAATCAATCAGGCGATCAATCAATCAGGCGATCAATCAAGCGATGGATCAATCAATCAGGCGATCATTCGGCGATCAATCAGGCGATCAATCAGGCGATCAATCAGGCGATCAATCAGGCGATCAATCAGGCGATCAATCAGGCGATCAATCAAGCGACCAATCAAACGATCAATCAAGCGACCAACAAACTATCAATCAACCATGGTTCCACGATTGATAACTGGGCGAAGTCCAACTCGGATCAGAAAGAACCAGATTCAGAATCTGCACCCAGTTGGTGAAATCTTAGAGGTGACCTTTATCCAAATGGATAAGGAAGTGCATAAAAACGATTACCTGCTTCCTAACAAGCCGTCCAATCAACAGGGGCAACTGGCTCACAAGGAATCCTATCTTTTTCAAAATTAGGAGAAAGGGAAAAAAAAAAAAAAAAGGAGACATACATGCCGCTCTGGCAAAGGTAGCTCTAATCAAAGCCATTCATTCCATTCATTCTTTCAATTCTTTTTTTTTTTTTTTTTTTTTTGGAAAGATTCTTTCAATTCTTCAGAGGATGATCGATCATGACGTGCAGGTGACCCCCATCCTATCGCAAAAGATGGTTGATGACCTCTCTTGCAAATCAATGAATCATCATCTTCTGATTGGGGTCCTTGATGACACCTCTCTTCCCTTTTTTTTTTTTTTTTTCAATTCTGTTCCTCTGCTAACTACCGTCTGCACCCAAATAGAACGCCCAGTTATTATCGCTGTATGTAGGCCGAAAGTTGCGCCAAATACGGATGTAATGACTGGGCGTGTTACTCGGGGGTGAAGACGGTAGATAGCACTTGTCATGACGTTGCCAGTGAGCGACACGTGGCACGCGGATCACGAAACTGCTTCGCTTTTGTAATACGACAAAAGCGTGCCACGTGTCGCTTTTGTAATATGACAAAAACGATGATCAGCGTTTATAATACGACAAAAACGACACGTGGCACGAGCGACACGTAGGCAAAGGACTTGCCAGAAGCTATCCAAGGCGTCGTTATAAGATTTCCTTCGCCCCCTAGATAACCTTCGATTGTTGATGACAACCGTCTTCACCCGAAGAGAGAACGACCGGTGATTAAAATGCTGTATTTGGCGCAACTTTCGGTCCAAATACTGGTATGATTACCGGGCGTTCTATTCGGGTGAAGACTATAGGATTGCCTTTTTTTTTTTTGCAGGATGTCTTTTTCTCCTCGACGTTTTTGCTGATTATGTTAGATAGGACTCGTTCGAATGCTAACTCTATTCCGGGAAAATTACAAAAAAAGCAAAAAGAAAAAGACTCCAAAAAAAGAAAAAGGAAGCTTCTTCATTGACAATTTCAGCTCTTCGCCACTCTCTCTCTCTCTCTCTCTCTCTCTCTCTCTCTCTCTCTCTCTCTCTCACACACACACACACACACACAGAGACGCACGTGCATAAATACACACAGACTCCTTCCTTTCTCTTCGCTTTCTTCTACTATCTCCGGTCCTCTCTACTTCTCCTCCCTCTTACGTTTTCTTCTGACAGCTGGTCACATCAACGACATGTTCAGTTCCTATTTCCGGCGATGGCGGCGGATCCCGAATTTCTCTTCGCCCCCATCATCTCGCTCAGGATGAGGAGCGCGTGCGCACACACCAGCCTTCAGCGTTCAACACCTTACGCGCCTTTTCACACCCCTCCTGCCACTCCTTTGGCCCGGTCACCATCGAGCGTCTTCCACCGAACATAACGCACCCTCAGTGTGAATGTATACAAGCTATCTTTACGGTTCAATACAGTCATGACGAAGGTGCATTGTGTTCGAGGGAGGGAGAGAGTCTCAACTGGCCGTCGCCGCCTCCAGTAGCTGTGTGTTTGGCAACTCCATCTCCATGCCGTGCTTGTCCCGATCCGGACACCAGGCATGAGCAGGTCGCAACAAGATACCTCTCGCTGACAGGGAGCAAAGGCAGTGGTTTTCCTAAACTCCTAAACCCATCGCTTTCCTGTATGCATCCAGCCCTGTTTTGCGGCGTTATGAATTTTCAGATTATCAATCAATCGGACACAATTTTACGATTAATATTACTATAACATTAGTAGTAATTCAGCACAATTTTATAAGATTGATATTACGACTTAATTGGACACGAGTCGGGATGAAAAAAAAAAAAAAAAAAAAAAAGCTATCGGGATCGGGACATGAAGAAACCATTAAATAAGTGTAACAGAAACCTCAGATACTCAGATACAGGCTGTAGAAAGGTAGAGGAGGGAAGAGAGAGAGAGAGAGAGAGAGAGAGAGAGGGCAGCAGGGAGAGGAGGGTAGCGGCGAGCTTGGGAAAAGGGTGAAGGGAGAGAGGAGGGACGAGTTTGGGGAGAGGTGGACGGGGGGAGAGAGAGAGAGAGGATGCTTGCGGAGAGAGGGAGAAGTAACGTGGGAAGCGAAGGGTAATTGAGAGAGAGAGGAGGGAGGGAGGGAGGGAGAATGGAGGGAGTTCATACGGTGGATGGAGAGAGGGAAAGGGTGTTTCGGGAGAGAGGGCAGATGAAGAGAGGGAGAAGGAGAGGGAGATTGAAAGGAGAGAGGGTGGACGGATAGGAGGACAGAAGGGAGAGCTGGGTGAGAAGGAGAGGGAGAGGGGGGAAAGAAGAAAGGGAGGGAGGAGAAGAAGAAAGACCTTCAAACTTTCAACAACACCTGGGACCACCTCGTGCTCCAGTCCAGAGTACTCTCCCTCTGTGTTCTCGCGGATGACCACCACATTCACGTTCTCATGACGCGTGTCGACTCCTGGAACGTTGAAGCACATCACCAGGCTGGCAAACAAATCAAGCTCTTTGCGGAGCTGCATATTTAGAGAGCTAGTTCCCCCTCCCACGGGGGTTCTTAGCCCCCCTTTAAGGCATACCTTATTTCTCCTGATAGAGTCGAGGATCTCGGCGGGCATGCAGCTCATTGAACCTGAACATTCGAAGGTCTCGAAGTAGAGAGGAGCCCTCATCGCCTCCATCACCTGCACGACTGCATCTGTGACAAGAGGCCCGGTGCCATCGCCGAGGATAAGCGTGACGGGTCTGGCGGCGCCCGATCCCGGCTTCGGCATGTAGGTTACAGATCGCGACTGCTGATGCTGGTACCCTCCTGCAGCGACACGTGGCGACAAAGACAGCGAGGAGGAAGACGACGAAGATGGCCAGGGGGAAGACTGGCGCGTGTGGCGCTGCGGCCGCGCCTCCTGTGAAAGCGCAGCAGCGGCGGGCGCCGCCGCCGACGCCCCTGCGCCATGCCGCGACGCCAACGCCGCGCGCCGTAGCAGCGCCTTCGTCAATTGGGACCCCCCCCCACACGCCATGGCGCGCAGCGATCCGTTCCGCAGACGATGCACACCACCAGGACACGTGGCAGAAATCAAAAACCGCAAGCGCTTCGCATAGACACCTGTCTCGAGCCTTAAAAACACCCCTCTCTCGCGCCTAGATGCTCGTCAAAGCGCGACTTCTCTCCCGCGCAAACGACTACCAGCGAGCGCGCCAGGGCGCGAGCAAGGAAGCAAGGGAGGCAACGACAGAAGACCACGTGTAGGCACGCTCGCGCGCTCGCAACACGCCTACCGTCTTCCCCCGAACATAACGCACGCTGATAATGAATGTATACACACTATCTTTCCATCCCGATGCAGTCAAAATGATGGTGCGTTGTGTTCGGGGCAAGATGGTGGTTCGCTGCAAGATGGTGGTCCGGTCGCGAGTGCGCACAGGCGCCGTTCGTCCAGCCACTCAGGTCGCGCAATCCGTCGCTCGCAGCCCCCCGTTGCTCCCACAACGAGGTCGCTCATCGACGATCCCGGTGGAATTGAATCCACGCTGGAAAAGCAATGGCAATGGCAAGCACGCAGAACAGATCGATCGGCAGCGACGGATGGAAAAACGTGAACTAGGTAGCTACCCAGCTCCTCTGCGCTACCGGTAGGCCTACCAGTAGTTGCACTCCTCTCCACCGCCAACATTGTGAATGCATCTGGACTCAAAATGTTGACGGACGGCGAGTAGTCCAACGAGGGCCTTGCAACTAGGGCCTTGGGGCCTAGCGCCACCACTCCCCAAACGTCAGGAAGACAAAAACCGGTGAAGACACCTCAATTTCACATATGTGCTGCGAGACCCTGCCTCTTCTGCATGAACACACCTCAATTTCACATATTTGCTGCGAGACCCTGCCTCTTCTGCATGAAGACATCTCAATTTCACATACTTGCTGCGAGACCCTGCCTCTATATACAGAGGAGAGAGAGAGAGAGAGAGAGAGAGAGAGAGAGAGAGCACGTGTTTATTTCTTTATTTGCCCAGATTCTCTTTTTGCCGCCTCCACAAGTTGTCTTTGTTTTGAACGATAATATCCGCTTCTACACCCATGTAGACTGTCCAACTTCCTGCGGGAAGCTACGAGATCGTGTTCGTGTTTTATGCCTTGCAATATTTAGTATTCATGGGTCCCTTGCAAAACATGATACAATTCCCGCCCAGGGTGCACTCCCAATTCAAGGATCAACCCCTAGTCATAATGTTGCCCCAAAATGTCTACAGATTGCAATTGCCCCATACAGCATAAACTGCGTGGATGATCTATAAACGGGTGAACAACATCATTTGTTGAACTGCACTTTTTTGTGCCACAAGGTGTAAATCACGTAAGTGATTTGCAAAAAACTAACCAACAAATACCCTATGACAATTTAGGATTGCAACACCATCGAGATGTTCTGCAAATTATTGGTCAACATTCAATATTCCAGCCTAAGATTTTTCACAATCTTCACGCTCTAGCTACAATTAATATTTAACTGCACATTCTTCATCGCCTGCTTTATACAGCGTCAAAGTTTCTTGCAATTACCATTTGACTTGATGCCGATATTCCTTATTTGCAAACAAAGGATGATAATTATAAAAGGGAAGGAGGCTTAAGAATTATATTTTTGCATATAACAATGAGCAATCATAAACTTGAGTTACGCAACGTTAATGCATATGAGTAGTTTCATCCTTATCTCACGTCTTTATTTATGTTGTATACGATATTGGTCACCACATGATCATTGTACATGTTTATGACCGTTTGGAGTTGTGAGACAATGACACAAAGTTTCAAGTCATGATTGGTGTTACTGATTTATTCAATAATGATGTTGTTTTCTTGCAACAAAAAATTGTTCGTACACTATTTTACATCGAATATCACTTTGTTACCTATGTTTCGCAATGTATCAACACTTTGCATTCTTATATTTTGCACAACGATAAACATTTTCACACTTCATCACAGTTAAGATCCTCTTTGCCATAATCATTACAATGATATTGCTTATTTATTTATGTACGCAAAGTGTTGTCCCTCATTTCCTAAGTGTAGTCCCTGTCTCTTATACACATCTAGATGTGTATAAGAGACAGGTATCAACACTTTGCATTCTTATATTTTGCACAACGATAAACATTTTCACACTTCATCACAGTTAAGATCCTCTTTGCCATAATCATTACAATGATATTGCTTATTTATTTATGTACGCAAAGTGTTGTCCCTCATTTCCTAAGTGTAGTCCTTAACATTTTTTGCATCCAAACACTATATATTTATTTTACAGTCATTGATATCATACTCAATTCACAAGTATAATATTTTGTGATATTCGTTAATTATTCATGTTTGTCAGCAATTGACATGTCATCGGTTAATAATGTTTGGTGGGTGTGCTTAACATCAGTCGCTGTAACAAATGTTGTATTAAGAATATCGAGCTACTAGGTCCTTCACATCCTTATTTAGCTCATCCTTATAATTTATAATTTTTTTGCTATCAAGGATTTGTCGCTTTCTTAGCCTTTTTTATCCTTTTCAATATTTTAAATTTTATTCTACACTCCTTGCTTTCCCTTAATTTATAATTATATTTATTTTCGTCGTTATTATTCTCATCCTTTCTTTTCATTTATCCCCTCTCTATATACTTTTGTTTTTTTTTAACCACCGGTCCTCCTGACGCCAGAAAACCTTAGGGGTACCAATAGCGCCATTTCACGACGGTTACCGGTAGTACAGTATGGAAAACCGGTCCTGACGTCAGAAAACCTCAGGGCCTCAAAAATGAAATTTGCAGAAAATAATTTGAAATAAACCGAATCAACGCGGCGAATATTTCATGGTGAAAATGATTTTTTTTTTCTTCTGATATTTTTCCCTGAAAGATCACGACCTAATCTACAGACCCTCAAATTTTTAGATATTTTGGTGAATTTTCCTGAGCACAAAAAATCGGAAAAGTTGCCGCTTGCAAAATGGCGGGATTGGATCCGTCGACCCCTCCGTACAACCCGGCGCCTCCGTACAATCGCCGCCCCTCCGTACAACTCGGCCCTAACTCACAGGGACTAGGGGGGTTCCGTGGCGGGGGGACCGGTGGCTTAACACTGTATAAGTGAGCATGGTACATGAAAATAAGGGTTGCTTACTCAACCTCGTCAATGTAGCAAGCCTTGTATGCAAGAGGCGAGATATAAATGAGAGTTAAATAAATAACTCACGAAATATACAAAATAAAATTTATATATAAAAAAATAAAATACGAGTTTTTGTATGGGTGTAGGCAACAAATATAATGCAAGTTTGACTCATTCCAAGTATTAGGCTTCAAATTTTAATTCAACTTTTTTTTTTTATAATACTTGGAATGAGTAAGACTATTATTACAAAATTTTTATCATGTGAATGATATAAAAGGGATAGTTGCGGGACAAGTATATCGTTTGTCATCAGTTTCTTATAACACAAAATATTTTCTATAATCTAA